CTTTTCATTCAATCACAAACGATTCACTGGTGTCGAATTTTCTCAGACAAATAGCATTGTCATTGTAAAAGTCTACGTTTTCCTACCAAGAGGGAGAGGAATGTTAAAATTTGACATTTATTATTAGCTGACCTTGGGCGCGTTTATTTTTCAGATCGTTTTTCCTCATGAAACTCAATTTTTCAAGGATTCCAAATTTTCACTGGCTTCACGGATTCTGAATTTTGATTGCTTCCCAAGGCTTACGGATTTTCATCTTTTCCTCCCGTACAGAGTGAATTACAGAGAAGATTTTGACTTTTTCGGAAGGAGTCGAAGTTGGGTAAGATGCAAAAAGCACAAAGTGCTTAGTAGTGATCCATTAATCAGGCCCTTCACAAATAATGGCTAGTACCAATCGGTTTAAGCCTTGGACTATCTTTTTTCGGGATATGAGACCTCTAAATTTAAAAAATCAACTTTCCAAACTCAAATAGTTTCACACGTTAGTAAGCAAGAAGTTTTTCAGATTGCACAGTCTCCCTGCAGTCGCCGGATTCATTCGATGCAACGCAAGCCGCCAGTCGAAGCGGACACAAATTTGCATAAAGAGCAAGTCCAAGCAAGAATTAATGCTTCCAAGGTATTATTCTCTTTTCAAAAATCCCGCAATTCTTTAATTTTCCGTAAAAAATTTATCCTTAAAGTTTATGAGATTTCACAAAAAAAACTTTTTCGAAATTTACAAATTTTATAAGAACTCTTTTTCAAAATTTCTAAAAACTCTTAAATCTCGAAAAAAGTTCGAAATTAAAATCACCGCTTTGCAGGAACTTATGTAACACATTTTCTGTGGGTTGTGATCGAAAAGCTTCTTGGATTACTTGGAGAGTAAAAATGGATATCGATTTCTTCCCACTTAATATCAAGATTACCAAGACTTCCCGGATTAACAGCGCGGGTATCCCATGTTAGTGATGTTACTGGAATGCTCCCATACGCCAGGCTCTTCGACTCTGGACTGCATGTTTTTGTAAATATAATGGAGCGTGTATTGCTGTAAATTGCTTCAAGAATTCTAATTTATTTCAGGTCAAATTCTCGCTGTTATTACTGGCTTTGATGTCAGTGGTGGCTGTTCTTTTTGGATTTCTGGCACTCCAAAGTTTACTTGCAATCCAGTGGAAATCTGCTGCTACCGAATCTTCTGGACATGGCGAAGATAGTTCCACGATGACATTGCGAACCGTAGTGGTTTATGAGGTTGCAAGCTCTCTATCCCTGATCGCCGTGACAACCTCAATTTCCACCTTCCTGCTTTCCACTTTGCAATTGTTTTTCGCCCTTAAATTCTTGAAAACCAGTCCTACCTCCGTAAAAAGGTTAGTAAATCCAGATTCTAATATCTGATGAAAAGACAATTTATGCAAATTATCTCCAGCGCTGAACAATCGCAAATTACAGCTTATTTACCTCAGTTGAAATTCAGATAATATTAATAATCCCGGAAATCTTGGGGTTTCCTAAGACATCAGTGGAAGGGGACAAGGGTAGGTTTATGTGTTAGCCAAAAGTTTAAATCCCTTTTGTATTCGCTTTCTATGAGAGTCGAAGGCACATGGAAGCAACCCGAGTGGTAACAAATGCCAATAGTAAACACTCGTTAGCAAAGCGGCCAATGGCTTCGTTTGTCGAGAGTAGCTTACAAGCAAGATAACAGTGGATTTTTCTCTCTAATATATGCCAGTACTGATTTGCCATCAAAAAAAATAAGCAAAATGTGGAAGGACTAATTGTTCTACTCTGAAGAATCGAACTCTCGATCTGCTAGATGACAACAGTATTACCTCTCATTGTCATATGCCTGAAGGCAAAATATTGGTAGACAAGAGAATTTATTGGGCTAAAGTGTTAAAGTATTTACTGGGCCAAAGTGCTAAATTTTTCAAGTTACTTGAACCGTGACTAAACCATTACACCACATTACGACGAATTGCTTATGGTCGTATGATGCCTTATCTGCTGGTCTTTGACCGATCAGTGGATAACGCTATATTGAGTGACGGATGCTGCATTATCTCTAGATTGCTAATGCTTCAGCTGGCAGGCGCAATTTCGAGATAGTAAAGTCTGCAAGCCGAATATAAATTTTTAATGGTAGTGGCAGTGGCCAGCTTCCGGAAAAAAAAAGTTCTCGGATTTAGGACCTCTAAAACCAATTAACACCAGCCTCGCTTATTACAACGATTGGAATCACTGGATTTTTCTAGACTAAATTTTGCTTTTTTTCGTCGAAATCTTAATCCATCATCGTTAACAATTTTACTCATAAAGAATACTTCATCGTTAAGAATATCGAGATTCCTAATACTCCATGTTTTTTGATATTAGTGGAACGCACCCAAATGTCAAACACAGCCGTGCCAGGCCTTACAATCCTGAGCTGTATTAACTCCAGCTACACTGCCGTCTGTTCGATGCTCGAGCACCAGTGGTTGTTTTCTTTCGGGGTTGTTTCGGGCCCGAGTGGTTGTTTTCTTTCTCGTAAATATCATTCACTTAGTGACCGGTCACCGATAAGGCGGGTAATATGCCCTGTCATCAGATTTTATTTTTCTCGCATGGCCGTAATGATATCCTATACGCCACTGTTCTGGCCGAGAATCTGACTGCTTATGTGGCCGTGAAGCTAAATTCATAATAATCGTTGTTTCTAGGGTTCTGGCATTTCTGAATGGTGGGCGATTTCTGAGGTGCATCGTATATACAGCGTGGTTCATCGCTGTGCTGTTCTTCATTGTTGGTAAGCATTTGGCAATTAGGATAACTCAGAGGTTTATTTTTTCTTACTCGCTTTTTGATTTCTTTTTACCTTTATCCCTTCTTCTCCTCGCAAAAATATGGTTCTTTCTTTCACACGCATATTGTTGGTGACAGTTAGTACCCAGATTTTCGTGATGCGAGAAGTGACTCGTTACTTGTAGTACCACAAGTTTTTGAAATCTCAATCCTAGTATTGGTCAAGTATTCTTTTTCGAACAAGTAGACGCATTTTTTTTTTCAAAACTCTTTAATATTTTTACGTCAGGGATAAATTACTGCAAATTCTTATTTTCTCCGCAATGATAATGTCAATAGTTGCTGCGAGTATCTGATGTTAGTGATATTACTGGGATTCTCCTGCCATTCCTGGTGAAGCTATACCAGGTCTTTCGATCTTGAGCTACGAACTTTCATTTAATACTTATTTTCTATTCAGTGTATGTGTGCCAGCCCTTCAAAGAGTCTCCAGACAAAGAAACACCTTTTGAAAATTTTATTACTAAAAAAAAACTGATTTTAGCAACTTTTGAGTAATCCATATCGTTTTTATGCGTTTTTTGCATCTATGCAATGCAAAAACGCACATTGTCGAGGGGTTGTCTGTGTGTGTGTGTGCATGTGTGTGTGCATGTGTGTGTGTCTGTGTGTGCGTTTGTAACGAGTTTTGATCTCGAGATCCACTAGAGCTACAAGGCTGAAAATTTGGTGAATTAATCTACACATACGTGCGGGCTCGTATCCTGAAAATGGACGCTCAGGTCCGCGTGGTTCTCACGTAGGGACACGTGAAAGTTTTTTTGGCGGGAAAGCGTTTTCGGGAATGGCCCATGCTAGGAGGCTGGAAATTCACTTAGTTGTTCCTTGGCCGCGTCTAATCCAAAGATTTCAAATTCAGCTTCACGCACCCTCAGGACTCACGTACACACAGTCAAAGTTTAAATTGGCATCATGCCAACTCCAAATTTAAGGTGATCAATAAGCTACAGAGAGCTACAATTTTGCAGAGTCACTTGTTGCCCACTGCTTGTCCGTGAAAGTAAATTACTTTTCAGCGCTTCTGCATCTCACATACGAACACGTGTACACACGTGAAATTTGACGTAACTCCGCAACCAGAGCAGCTGGAG